GCTGTCGGCAGACAGGCTACTGGGCTAGATGGACCTTTGGTCTGACCCAGTACGGCCATTCTTATGTTCTTATGTTCTAAGCTCAGGGTTGGGGGGCTCACTGGACCAACTTGATTCTCATGCAAACCTGCTCCTGGGTTCGCATGTGGCCTTTGGTTTGGCAGCTATACTGCCCTAGACAGCTGCATTCCTCTGTCTAGTGCGGAGATCGTGGATGTTGCTGGGGGGCATCGGGTGGCTGGCTCATGCCGTGCCAGGTGCAGGGTCTGCTGGCTGGGTGCTGGCAGGCTTGCACCTGGCATGGACACCGAAGCCAGACCGTGCCCCTTTAAGGGCTCCAGGGCCGGGAGGGGGGCAGAAGAGTTTCCCTGGTTTGGCCCATAGTGGCCACCAGGGCAACCCGGGAAGGGCTAGTCTCCATCTAGTTCGAATTAAGTGGCTACACAGCTCTTAATTCGAACTACTTAATTCAAACTAGGCGTTACTCCTCGTAGCATGAGGTTTACCTAGTTCGAATTAAGCGCTCTGCTAGTTTGATTTAAATTTGAACTAGTGGTTTGTATGTGTAGCCCCTATTAAAGTTAATTCGAACTAAGGGCTGTTAGTTCAAATTAACTTTGTAGTGTAGACATATCCTCGATGACATTTAACATTATCCCCTAAAAAAAAAAGATTTGTCCATTCAAAATGCCAGCAAAATCCATGGTAACCATAATAAAACATTCAGTTATTTTATTCAAACTGAAATCACTTCAGTATAAGCAGTCTGAGCATTTAAAAATGCATGAGATATTACTAAATTAGATCTATCACATACCCATTTCTTTTAACAAATAAAAACAGCAAAATGAAATAATCCCCCTCCCTTTTTCTGTTTGGGTTTCTTGCATAAGGCAAACAATGGTTTATTAGGAAAAAAAAAAGCAATGCAGATGAACTGGTAATTAAAGGGTAATTAAATTAACCCTCATTGCCTTTCTGACAAAGTAAAACAGTAATAAGCAGTTTATTTTACATCAGTGGACACAATGTGACTCTTATATCAGTATAACTGCAACACTATTTGCTTAACCCAAGTACCTTAATTTCAGGACACAATAAGTGAAGAAAGTCTGAATGAGGTGGCAGATTATGATGATGATGACAGCAGCCCTAAAAGCAGCGCAGAAACTGAAAGAGATAATTCAAATGTTGATGAACATGAGGATATTGATGAAGAATACCACTACCCATCTGTGGTTTCTAGCAGGAGTTCTGAAAGTCCAGGTGACATTGATGGAAACGATGTTGATGCAAGGAGCACTCAGGACTATGAGGGTGAAGACAGTTTTAGAAAAAAGCAAGCTCAGCATAAGACTTTGGCCAATCAAAAGAAGTCGGCTGATGATGATATGGAAGAAGTAGCTGAAAATAACCATGGTGATCAATTAACTGAGAAAAATTCCCTAGTAAGTATACCTAACTCTTCTGTATAAAACTCAGTTGCCTACCAGTTAACGTTTTTCTTCCACCAGTTGTCTGATCCGCAAAAATGGTTAGCAATCTTAATGCAATCTGCTGTAAACACAGGGCTTTAAACACATCACAGATAATTTGCTGTAATCAGATCAGGCTCTATTTTCAAGAGACAGTATTGTGCTAACAGCTGAATTTTGGATAAATACATTTGGATTTGGGTAAGCTTACAGGGAAATTAATTTAAAAAAAAAAAGAATCACTCCTCCAGCTTTGTAATGAAATGTATATGTCAAAATACAAACAAATTGTGTGTATTGGAAATTCAGACATATGCAAAATTCTTACAGGAGAAAGTTTGACTAAATGGAAAAAAAACAACCAAAAATATACAGTTGTGTAAAATTATATCTGAAATGAAATCATACCCCCTTTTTTTACCACTAGACTATATAGGTTGGACCTCCCTCGTCTGGCACCCTCTGGACCTGACCTGTCCCAGATGAGAGATTTTGCCAGACCAGGGGTGGTCATTTCTGGATCCCCTGACACCAGACCCCTTCACTCCTGGCCCTGCTGCAACCCGCCAGCTGGCTCTCTTGTCTTGCAGGCCCTGCTGCCTTACAGAGCAACCTTGCCATCTCTGTTCACCAGGCTCCCACTGCTGCGCAAGGCAGTCTCGCTGTTTGTGTGCTCACCAGGCTCCTGCTGCAGCTCCCAGCAGCCCTGCTTGCCTTCTTGGAT